TTTTCCAAGGACAATCTGTATATTATTGAAATGAATATTGTCGAAAATATCTAGACAATATTTTCAATTTATTCAATATTATGCTCTCTCGCACTTGGGATATACCTAACGAGGTCTCTAATGATTAATATAAGAATAGATCCAAGATCCTTCATAATTGAGAATAATCAATTAATGAATTAACCGAATTACAATTTTTCAGATCGATTATTATCATTATAATTTCTTAAAGTATCTTACGCCATAAATATCAAACCTAAAATGATAGGTCTATAGCCTATTTCAAACGAGATTAATCATTTGTCTTCGAGTATCTATATCTATCTCGCCACAGACACGTTATATGAACGGAAATAAACATCCCATAATTACCTTGAATTTTCCCCCCAATCCTGAAATCAGCAGCTAAAAGCCCACAGGGGAAACCGTAATTCAACGAGGACAATACAAAATATCTGCACAAGAATGAAAACCCTATACGCCCAAAACGACTCCTGTGACAGCCTAGGCAGGGACTTCCCCGTGCCTACATGACGTGCAGTCCACTACATTCGATTTAGGACTCCTTCGAGGCCTGTAGTGAAACTCCTTAAGCAAAAGAAAGCTGGAACTCTGTTGTGTTGCATGTGTCCGCGTGCCCAGTGATGCAGTCAGGGCACGACTTCGACAACTTTAGTCTGCTTGACAGGAGAAAGATTTCAACAGGGTGCAAACGCGTCCTTTGCTCATATCTTACAACATTTCAAGACATAGCCTATGCAGCCTCCGGCCTACGCAGAGCCTTCGCGCATTTACTACGCGCCTTAGAAACTCTGAAAGAACAGCTAAGCGGACGAAGTTGGACTATGTCGGATGTTCCGGCTTATATAAACTCCCACATGGCAAAACGGCTGCTCATGTAAGGGGGGATTAGATAAAAACCTCAGATGATGTGGTTCAAGAACGAACCGAAAGTGCCTTCACATTTCGAAGCCTGACGGACAAGCATGCCTCAAGCAAATTGACCATCTTGTCTTGTTTTCTTCGTCCTCAGGCTCGATCTCGTATTGCACGTCTGACATGTCCTCCAAGTCGGACATATTCCGATCTGCGAAGAACAATGGCTTGTCGTCAAATTTCTCCTCGTCCTCCTCCTTTTTTTCAATATCTTTAGGTGGGCCAAACAGTGCTTTCGCCAGTTCCGGCGTAGCCATAGATGGTGTCCCCATGGGCATAACCACCATTTGTGTCCGTGATTCAGAGGCGGCACTTCCACTGGACTTAGCCCTTTCTGGGCCTGGCTCGGGCATGACCGGTGTATGTTCACTTCGGGCAGTACAAGATGCGGGCATCTTGCGGATTTGACTCAGCAGCTTCTCGGCCACGCCGTTGTTCAGGGCCTTGTCCATGCCCAACATAGCCGAATGACAGGTTGTCCTTCCCTTTGGCACTCTTTGGAAGATGAGCCTCCTGTCTCCAAGCTCAAACGCTTTCCGGAAGTATTCTTCGGCGAAAGGATTGATGTCGGCCTGCAGGGCCGAAGATCTTACAAGCACTACCTGGTTACCTCTACCTCTCACACCATGCGACCAAGAAAAGCAGCTCAACGGTACAGTGGCTACCCCTCGAAATTTCGGCATGACAGGCGCGACCTCCGCGTCGTCATCCTCCTGTGCAGATCTCTTACTTGTACCCACAGCGGCACATAAACATCTCTTGTACACAAGGCTCTCCATTTACACTCAGTTAAGTCGGGATTCGTCGTATTCCCGGTCGTACTCATCTCGCCGCGGGCGGCGCCGATGTTTTTTCGCAGCATGAAACCTGAGCATCTCTGGGTGGAAACCAAACGTCCGACAAAGTACCGATCGTGCTTGCAAACACCTGCAGAGGGCCTGCACTCTTCTGGACTCTGTCGTCCACACTCAATTTCACCGAGTTAATCGATGCCCAAAGCACTGTGCCAGGATTGGCGGTACGTACTCGGCGCCCGGTGACTCTGCAGCAGGCCGACCGGCTGGACCGTCCTCCCCACGAATTCAGGATGACAGAAAGCTTTGTGCGACGTCTCCCATTCGCCGCTACACATTTGCTGCAATCCAAAATGATGTCAAAACACTGCGCTTGTAACGTGCCCTGATGGACGATCATGCTGAGCATGTTGTCTTCCAACTCTTTCCCAGCTTAAACCGGGGCTGGCAAACGAGTCAGGGTTGCTGTGATGTGACCTTTTTGGCAGGTACTCAAGCGCGGCTAAGGGGCTGCCGCGAGGTATCGGGAGGTGCAGTAGCGGGCTCTTCAAAGCTACAGCAGCGTGAGACATCGTGAGACTAATGTCTGTGCCGGCTGAGACTCAACGCTTCAGTCTGCATGTCAAAGCCCGGTGTCATGATCGCGACAAATAGCTAAGATCAACCAGCCCACAAACAACGATAATACACGTTTTCTGCATCCTTGAGAGAAGGGGCGCAAGTCGGGTATACAGGCCAGCACTCCCCAGTTGTCCCCAATACTCCCTAACGATCCTTAGTACCCTTCCTTCCGCTTGAACCATCAACCCCTCAAGGGCGCTACAATATTTCTGCACCCTCTCAACCAAACTGACACCTCGCCGGACGAGCGCCACGCGATCTCTCCATAACAATGATGGGGCGGAAAAGACTACAGGCATGGCGAGCGCTTTCCACGTGAGACCGAAGCCTTCAGCTAGCGATGGGTGTTCATGCGGTATAGCAACCGGACGTCGGACGACCTAACTTCTGGCCTCCGGAAATCGCATACGCATCCCTCATAACACGCATGCTCGACGAAGCAAGCTCCTCAACCGGGGGCAACAGCTGCTTGGCCTCCCAGCACAAGTCAAGAAATGAAGCATGGGCAGGCCGAATATCTCGGCTTTACGGCTACCCGCGGCTTAGCAGCGAGCTTCGTTCACTTGAATTGCGCGCTCCTGTTGGCAGCTCTTTCTGCATTCCGAAATTGCCGAAGCCTCCCTGCAGCCCGGTAATTCTGCAGTACAGCAGTGGTTCAACAAAGGATTGGTGCCCGTCCTCGTCCCACCGGTCATCAGCATCCGTCAGACCTCGCGTGTCCGGGCCAGCAGGGCCAAGATTTATGTCTTCCACTAACACGAACACCGAAATGACACCAGGCAGGGCTGACACAGACTTTCGGGCCTCCGACTATGTCAGGCTCGATTTCCTACTGCTGGGAGTCCGCACTCTGCGCGAAGGCCCCTGGCACTCACCTTTAAACCTCTGCCAAGTGACCACCCAGCATGTGACTCACCTCGGGCAGGATCACCTTGTCCTACCAGGCCATACTTTGCTACCGCCAGGCCTCCTAGCGATGTGCTAAAATCAACTTGCTGCCCTGTGGTTCACTGCCGAGACAGCTTCCCACTGGTAAGGTTTTGTATCGATACTTTTTCTGGCGAAACAGGCTGATAAAAAAGGCATGCCGTGTGAAAAATGAATGGTGTTTCGCGGATGAGGTCACGAGCTACACTGTGCTACACGTCTTGAAAGACTGTAAAGATTGACTGAAAACGGAGAGTGAAAAGGGGCGGGTTCCTCAAGGCCATGTTTAGGTGACATAGCTTCGACGTCTCTTCTTTTGTCCCTCGATCAATAGACTTTTCAGAGAAGAACTGCTTCAGTTCGTCAACTTGTCCACCCGCTTTGTCACGCAGTTGTGACTTGCACTGCTTTGCAAGCCACATACTCCTGCATGCTGTAACATGTTACGGTGCTCTTCTAGGAGTGTGAGTTTACACACTGCCAACCAAACGAAGATGGCTCGACCTGGGCGATTGCTACGTTGGCTGCGTAAATTTACTAATATCGCAAGCCACTCACCTCGCCACTGATGCTATGCTCCGAGAGAAAGGCATGCACCAAGACTGCAACCTGTCAGCAATGCTCACCACATGCACGGTTTCTTCGGGATGTCCTTCGATGGTGCCTCTTCTTCATCAGTGACTGGCTCCGCGTGCTGCTCACCAGGAGTGTCTCCTCGGTGCAGATTTCCGCACCACGCCATGCACGACAGGAATAGGTTTACCTGCAAAAGTGTACGAGTGAAGGCTCACACTGGAAAGCATTCATCGTTGTAGTTCTGCTAAATGGCGCCCAGGTTGGAAGCTGGATCATATTGAGCCTTCGAATTAGCACGACATGCGGCCGAGTCCTTCCAAAGCATACACGACAGCACATGCATAAACCACACGCTTGTTTGCAGATCTCGCATTTGGTCTGCACACGCCCAGCAGAGCTGATGTGATACAGCAACCCGATCCATCGCTTCTCCTGCTCTCATTCACACACATGCCAAGGGGCTCAGCGCTTCGAGTTGGCTAGCCTGTCTTGGACGCATGTTGCATGAAATTTGCAGTGCAGGTCCAAATGTGCGGTCGTGGCACACCATGCGACACATACAAGCTCCACATATCTGCGCACCGCTGCTGGAGACGATGCTGGCAACTAAACAGCCTTTTCCCTTCAGGTTTGGATCGTTTTGAGAATGCATACAGCTGGCTGCGTAGCACAACGGAAATACCTCGTAGCTGTAACTGTTAACAAAACCTGTGCCATTCATGCGTTGAGCGGTGGAGTTTCCGCTTGCATACCACCCTCCGCTTTCAGTTGCGGCCCTGGTTCGGCAAGTGTTTCATGACCCCCCCCCACGTGTTACCCAACAGGGCGTTGTCTGCACAGCTTGCAGAATACAACTTAGCTCCCAAGCGGAGTCTGTCTAGCTGAAACAGGAAGATGATACCAAGAGCAAGTGTTGTCAGCCGAGTGCCACGTGCGCCTACCAGCCCGAGCGATACAATACAAGCAACATCAGGCAACGACATGTGCTACTCTCTGCAGACCGTCTCTGCAGTGCAGAGCAGCACGATGAGAACGGTAGAGAACCAACAGACCGCCCCCGAAATGAACCATTACCGACGAAAGTGACAATCGCTTCAGTGCCGGATATTCTGAAATGCGGCAAATAGTGCTGGTATGTGCTGGTTGCATCTCTTTTCGGGAGACATCTGTAAACCTAAGCGTATACGGGCCGGCTCTCGATCATTGCGCTTTCCTGCAAGCAACACGAGACGTGGCGCTCCTCCTAATGGCTCCTGATGCCGACATAAACGAGATCACGTCGTTGACGCTCGCGATGGCAGCCAGCAAAATGGTAGTCAGGAAGAAGCGCTGCTCATGAACATGACCGCTCTGCCGCTTCCACTCCCACATTTACACATGCTGGGAATTCGGGGAAGAGTATACTGGCATGTGATAGATGTATACATATATGCACAATGTGTGTATATATGTATATATGTGTATGAGCATATTATACTATACTGCAAAAGACCATGCATACCATGCTATAACGAGACCTCGTAGTCGCCCACGCTCTGCTGGAGCTCATCGAGCCTGGAGCTTGAGGTAACGCGCCGGACCCCACGTTTTGTTTCGGCGCTCGCACTCGGACAGACCAGGCGTTCGAAGTCTCACTTTGAGGTGAGACCGTGTTTCAGCAGCTCTTCGACCACAAGATGCAACTGTACCCCGCAACTACAACCTAAACTATGTTCGTCGAGGAAGTTGTAGAGTAGGGCATTATACCATATCATATATATGTGGATAGTATATTCCGCTACAATACACCGCTCTTTACGCGGGGCAATGTTTGCTGCATAATATCATATCAGATAGATAGATAGATAGATAGATATACATATATATATATATATATATGTATAAATGCAATATCACTGTATAATACATCATTTTTTGCCTGCCGCCTGGCTAGGACGAACCTACGATGCAGGGTCTGTTGACTGCTCACAAGATCTATACAGTTCCGAGGGCTCTCAACGACATTCGGCGTTTCGCAGGCCTTCTCAGGTTTTCTTTTTTTGGGGTCATCCAGAAATCATCACTAGTAATTAAGTACAGTAATTAGTCTTATGAAACTACAGGACAGTATAGCACTCTTTGACAGCGGAATCCCTGACTCAGTGCTACTCACACAACCGGAGTTTGCGCTCTTCTTCAGGCCTCTTCTTCAACCTGGCTACGCGTTCCGCGCGTCGGCACGCCGCCTTGGCCACTGGTCAACAACGTGGCAGGCAGTTATATCAGGTCCATGTCGAGAAAAAGTTTCCGAAGAGCGACTGAGGTCAAAACTGACTCCTCTTCTTTTGCTTCGATCTTCGCTCTGTTTCTTGCCTGGCCAGGCAATCTGAGGAGTAAGCCAACCTCTGTACGGGAGAAAACTCAGCACAGCTCTGATGGTACGAGGTGGTCGTGACTGTGTGCGTTTTATGCTGCTGACGGGGATGATGATGCCTGCACGGGGGCGGTGATACGGTGCTGGCTTTGTGTACACATTTCTCTGGATCTCAGCTTGCACTCTTGCGCAGGGTGGCGTGCACCAAGCTACGGCTGCCAATGGCCAGGGAAAGACGGGGGTGAGAAGAAGCGCTTGGGATTGACGATGCAGTCTTTCAAGCGATGCTCAAAGGCTGTTTGGGAGTCTTCGTGTCCCGGGCCAATGGGCCATCGATCTAACTAGGAGTTGTCCACCAGGGAATGGCCGCCCTCCAGAACCGATCACCGATCGCGCTTCGCTGTGCGGCTGCGCGGTCACACGGGATGGCCTCGAAGTTGCGCTTGGCCGTCCAAGCCCGGGTCCCCTGCGCTGCGTCTCCGCTGGCTGAAGGCTATAGGCCAAGGCCTTCTTAGGATGCTACCATCAAGTCCTATGTTAGCCTTGTGCAGCCTGCACGAAACAAACTAGCAGCGGTGAAGTCCATCGTCGGATCTCAGGACACTGATGCCACTACATGGGCATGCAAAGTGTCGAAGGCCGACCTAACACTACGCAACCCTGCACAGCAGAGGTGAAGCGCGGACCGGGATGGGCAGTTCCATCTTCTTTCGCTCGGCGAAGTGTCCAAAAGCATCCTCGGCTTGATTTACTGGCGGGCTCTCAGATCGCAGTCCAGGGGCTCTCAGCACTGCTACTTTTACTGTACTTTGGCTGCGTCAGGTAGATTCAGGTACTCTCGGTACTCTCTTGGTCGCTCTAGGGACCTCAAAGGGCCGAAGGCCAAAACAGCTGCCAGAGACCCGTTCGACTTCCCCTTTTTGTGCCAAGTCTCGAAGTGAAGACTTCGATAGCTCGCGCGAGTCCCTACAGAGACCTTGTCCTCCCTCAGCATCTTCCACATGATCCTGGATATGCTGTTGACATGCTCTTTCTAGTGTCACGCGGGCATTTCCTACGAGGTGTGCTAGGGGAGTCGGGGTGAGTAGGGCAGTCAGCTACTTGTACAATACTGGCTAACGCTGCTCTTGCGGCGCCATGGAGATGATCCAAGCACGAATCAGACCATCACTCGTCGGACTCTCGGACCCTGGGAAGCTTCAGAGATATTGCTGAAGCTTATGCCTCAACATGGAGATGGGCAACGTAAGGGCCCTTCGATTGCTGCTTCAATGAGACAGATGAAGGCATCCGGTCAAGCTGCTTGTGGAACTCTGCGAAAGCTTCCTGCTCGAGGCACTGCTGCCTCAAGTCCTCAGGTTGGATGCAGCGGCCCACACAAAAGCGTATCTGAGAGAGAACATCAGGCTCTGCGCACGGCATTCCGCGGCGTGGCCCTCGCTCGGTACACTTCGATGACACAAACCCCCTTGTAACAATCCTCATGAAAGCCTCATCCACCACGGTACCAGCCCGTAATAGTGTTTGGGGGTATTTCAAACTATAACACAATAAAGAACCCGCAGAACAGTTTAGGAAACTCTTGTATAAGCAGTGTGCAAAAGAACGGCTTCCCTCAACTCGGCCGGGTCACGATCAGCTTCTCAAGAACCTCGTCGCTCACCGGAACGGCGAAGACCTGCCTTGGCGAGACTTTGACTTTGGCTCTTGCAAGTCGATGGATCTGCATTTATTCGTGGAACGCTGCAGCCAGCCACAAGTATGTATGTGAGACGGGTGGGGAGGCCGCGACGAGAATGGGTCACATTTGCTAGGGACAAAGCATGTCAATTCTTTGGAAGCCACAGTGAGATAACCAGGCTTGTACAGAATCCTCTTGTCTGGAATCGTGCGGTGAGCGAGTTTACCTGTCCACGCGCCGCCCGGCGTATGACTGACTGACTGACAGAAGTCGATGGATTTTTCGCTGGAGTCATATCTCCGAGTGCAACATATCCCAAAGACGCATTGCCCTGTGATTGTCCATGACATCTTCTCCTCGCGCGCTATGTGCTGTCGGCATGTCTTCATTTCTGTGGTGCGGCATATCGGCATATATGTGTGAATAAACGCTTGGAAGCCGTCAATGACTCTGTGGCAGTTGCATGGAGGTAGCGGCTTTTTCGCAGGCCGTCTGGGTGCATTGATTCTACCACAAGCTGCAGTTTCACATCGCCAGCCTTGAGGAGGACTGCACATACTGTAGGATAATGGGCTCCAAAACCCTATTCTAATTGTTGGAGTGATTTCAGCATGAGCCCCTGCGCAGAATGACACACATGCAGGCCTTTTTGCTCAGCGTATATAAAGTTGTTGCGTGCCTTTTGGGGTGTAAGTTCAGGGTTGAGCCTAGAGTCCAAAGCTTAGGTAGCCAGGTTCCTCTAAAGGCCCTTCCTCGGTAGCACCTCGAAAAGAGGTTAGGAGCCCAAGCTCCCTTAGGGTTCCTTTAGCTCTACTTTGTAGGCTTAGGCCCCTAAGTATCGCCCTCCGCTCCCTGACTTTATAAGTCTAGGCTCTAGGTCCTAGCTTAGTCGGGTGATAAGTCGCTGAGTTAAAGTGGTAGGATCCACCTTTCGAATCATGGACCCTGCTCTAAGACGCCGCAGACAGGAGCGGCAAGAGCAGGAACCGGCGAGCCCTTCTGCTCCGGAAGACGGGGCTCCTGAGGTTAACCCGTTTTGGAGCGAGAAAGCGAAGATGGAAATCTCCATCCAGAAGGCCCGGCCGCTAGACCTGGTGAGATGCGATGACGAGGTTTTGGAGCCAGATTACAATGCTAGCGGCAAGGGCCGAGGACTTTCCAGTTCACAAGGGAGTTCGGAAGTCATTAAGGCTGCTGGGGGGCAGGCGACGGATCCTGGGGTCAAAGGGCGTTTCTTTCAAGAACAAGTTGAGGAGATCCAGAACTTAAGGATGAACACTACAACCTCCTCTACCTGGCCCGAACAGACTGTACTGGGAAAGTCCGTGCCGCAGACCCACAATGAGCAGCCCGACTGGCTTACCATGTCTCCTCTCAAGTCCCAACAGCATGAAGCCTCTTTGGAATCTGGAGAACAGCCCGAGCTGGCAACGGAACGGCGCTTTGTGCCGACAGCAGTGAGGGGTGATGCTCCTGGCCTAGAGACTGCTCGGGACTCTTCGGATTCTGGGGTGTCGGTTCCGAAGGTTGCGGGGGTTTCCAGGACGGCTTTGCAGGCCTTTGGAGATTCTTCGGCAAGCCTCGAGATCCCAGAGACCTCCACAACGTTCGGTACGGTCGCTTCAGATGGAGGAGTTCCGAACAGATCTAACTATGTAGGAGAAGTAGACCGGAGTAGCCTGAGGGTAGTTCTGGAAGGGGCTGAAAGTGTCAGTGAAGGCACTGCAAGGAGGTCTATCCCTCTGTCTCCGGAAGCCCAGAAATCCCAGAAGAGTTCGGCCTACGAGATCCCGGATCCCTCAGAGCAACATTTCGAAATCGTTAGACTACGGTCTTTGGTTGAACATCTTCATGATAGGCTAGAGAAAGCTGAGGCTGAACGTAGTACGAGAGGATCCCTCTTTTGGGTCGGCCTCTTCTGGGCGTAGGGTAGAGGAACTAGAGCTCAAGGGCCAAAGGGTAAACTTTCAGTCTGAGGAGGGTTATCCTTTGCCCCCGGTGCCACCTCTGCCTCCTTTCGCCTCTGAGGGGTGGTCTTCCTGGAATGCTTCGGACCCCCTTCATTCCACTCACGACCTGGTCTTGGGTCAGGAGCCTCCACGTCAGTCCTCCCTCGATATGGATTTTGGCCCATCTGTTCACTCCCCGATGGCTTTTCCTGGGGACAGGGTGCCTTTGACTTCAACTGCGAGTGCTCCTGGGGCCACCATTTCGCCTTCTGAGGTTCCGTCTATGGACTTTGGACTTCACTCTTTTACAGGGCCCCCAGGAGTCCAATCCTCCTCAGGGATTCCCAATCCCGTTTCTCCTTCCGAGGTTCCTTCGATGGACTTTGGACTTCATTCTGCCGCGGGTGCTGGACCTCAGTACTTCGCTCTGTCTCCCCGTGCCCAGTTGCCGACTTCGTCTGGGGTAATAAGGGTTATGGGAGTTAATCATAGCTGGAAGGTGGTTAATGGTTCGTTGGTTTTAGAGCCTGTGGACTTCGTCCCTCCTCCTCCTCCGCAGTGGACTTCGCCCTTGGTCGCAGCTCCGCCCATTCCTGGGGCGTGGAGCAACAGTCCATCTCCTCCGAAGCATCCTGCGTTTGGAGCACAACTTCCAGTGCCATCCTGCCATGCTGTCTCCTCCTGCGCGGGAGCGGCAATGCCTCGATACCAATCGCCTCCTCCGAGGCCTCCTTCTTCTACTCCGCCCCCGAGCCCACCGGCCCCTTCGGGTTTAAGTCTTCCCATAGCTGCCCCGCCGGTTGGAAATAGTGGTCGGGTTGATGTTAAGGACCTTAGGCCTGAGGCTGTGGGTAAACATGTAAGTTCCCTACCGTCCCTAGAGGCCTATAACCCTAACAACCCCACCGCGCTTGGAGATTGGATCGCAGTGGTCCAGCCGATGATTTCTTCACTGTCAGACACCGGAAGTGTCTGGTGGGGTTATACATACCAGGCGGCCAACCAGGCCTACGTGCGGTGGTTGTCCACCTCCCCGCTTGAAAGGCTGTCGATCCAGAAGGAGTTTGATCAAGTAAACTTGGTGCAGCCCCAGCATGCCTTGCTGGAACAGCGATGCGTGACCTTGATTCTTCAGGCAATCCCGCATGCTGTGAGGGTTGACATTGTCGCCTCACGCCACCTGAGTGTGGCAGGAATGATCTTTCGTCTGATGACGGTGTTTCAGCCCGGGGGAGCGTCAGAACGATCAACCATGTTGCGTTTTTTGGTGACGCCGAAGGCTGCTTCCACTTTGTCGGAGGCTGCAAAGCTGCTGAGGCAGTGGACCCAATGGCGTATGCGCCTGAAACAACTGCATGCAGCAGAGCCTGACACTACGCTTCTGGTTAAGGGTTTAGATGTCCTGACAGGAAAGGTGTTGCAGAAGCACTCCGCGAGCCTCTTCCGACTTGCCACTTTCCGTGAGAGGCTTGGGGTTGACTATCAGCCGACCTCCGACGCTGTGTCGGAGTTGTGTCGAATGATGCAGGCGAAGGTGGAGCACCTGATGCACTCCACGGATGACAATCCTGTGAAGGATGAGGTTCCGGGCCGAGGGGATGATGCTAAGAAGCAGCGCTTGCAGCGCCTGCAGACGTCTCCCACTACCCCGAAGGCCAAGGCTTCTCCAGCGGGACCCAAGTCGCCGGGTGCAGGCATGAAACCTTGCAGGAGCTGGCTAACGGCTGGCGGTTGCACGTACGGGTCGTCATGTCAGTTCTACCACGACCAGGACGAAGAAAAGATGCGGGGCCGATGCTTCTGTTGCAGTGCCGAAGATCACTGGGCGGACTCATGCCCGGTGAAAGCCAGGTTAAAGGCGGAGGCTAAGGCTGCCAATGAGGAGTCCCCTTCCACTAGCCCTAAGACACCAAAGGCCCCTGCCGATTCCTCTCCTAAGGGTAAGGCGAAGGGTAAGGCTAAGGAAGGTAAGGGTAAGGAAGGCAAGCCTGGGGGTAAACCTAAGGTTGCTACCGTAGACCCTCAAACCGCGCCTGCTGGGACCGCGAATGACCAGGCAGAGGCTGCAGCTCCGAGTCAGGGGGATGGCAACGCAGCCATCAATGCAGAAATCTTGAGTGTGCTAAGGTCGATCAAGACCAAGGCCTTGCGGCTTAGTGCTGTGAGCAACCCGACTGGCTACGGCTTGTTGGATAGCGGGGCCTCCGCTTCTCTCCGCCAGGCATCGCCTCAGGAAATCCAGGAGTCCCGCCCGGTGAGCGTGTCTCTCGCGATCGGCGAGGCTCTGATGCATGTGAACTCCGCCGGGACTTTGTTGGTCAGGGAGTCAGTGCAGCCAATCTTGCCGATGCATGCGTTGCCGCTTTTGGGCTGTGAGATCAACTGGACTGACCGGGGCATTCACGTGCGGCATCCAGGTCTCGGGATTCTTCCGGTGAGACTCAAGGATGGCACTCCTGAGTTGCCAGAGTTTCTGGTGCTTCGCCTGATTGGCGAGTACGAGCGCTTCCTCTTGCGCCGTGAGACCTCAAGGGCCGTGTCGCAACAGCTTTGGCAGCGATCAGTTGGCCAGGAGGAGGTTGGGCTTTCGTCCCTAAGGGAGTGGGTTGCAGCCCATGAAGCGGCAGATTCGTGCAGCGAAAGTGAGCTGCAGCTGATCGTTAAGACCCTCTTTCCTGGGCTCCCAGAACGGTTAGCGTCTCAGGTTGCGGTGAGTCCCACCTTTGATCCCTCCTGCGTTCCTTTCAACCGCCGGACCAGGAGACAGCTGTTTGACCCTCAGGTCCCAACCTTGGTGCATCTGTTTGCTGGAAAGCAGCTGTGGCGACATTCTGTCGGCCAAGTGCTTGAGGTTGATATCTCCAGGGGATCGGACCTTCTCTCTGATGATGTGTTTGGCATGCTGCTGCGGGCAGCCACCCTGGGTGTCATCGATGGGGTCGTAGGTGGCCCGCCAAGCAGGACCTTCAATCCTGAAGCCCTGGCGTCCTCCTCGAATGGCTTGAAGTTCCGAGGGGAAGAGGGGGATGATAGGTTTGGGTTTTCAGACCTCAGCCCGTCCGATCGTGCTTTGGTTGATCGGGACACCCTGTTGTTCCTCCGGTCTCTGCTGTTGACCTTTGTGGCCTCGTGTGCCAAAGAGAAGTTCTTCAACTGCTTGGAAATGCCTGAGACTTCCACTGCGTGGGAATGGCCCGAGTATGAGAATGTTTCTGTGTGTCTGGGGGGATGGACCGCCAGCTTCGACCAGGGCACTCTTGGCCATCCCTGCTCTAAGGCCACTGCCGTGTATACCAGCAGCTTTCAGCTGTATGAGTCTCTTCATGAGCTGAAGCTTCCTCCAGAGGTGATTGAAGCCCCGGCTTCTAACTTCTACGGCAAGGAGTGGGCTCCTGGGCTTGTTAGCCGGGTTCTGCGGGCCTGGGATGACTACTGCTGTGTCAGCTTTGAGCGCTTGCAGGCTCACACCCGTGAGCGGGAAGGACTCCTTCTCAACTTGTGCCAGGAAGCCACTGTGGCTAAGATGTCACCCGAGGTTTGGGAAAGGCACTGCCAAGCAGATCATTTGCCGTATCGCAATGATTGCCCAATTTGCATTCAAGGAGCTTCCCGCGATCGCTCCCACTTCACGAAGCATCCGCATCTGTTTGAGCTCTCCAGCGATGTTGCGGGTCCGTACCACAAGGGCCGTGACTTTGGAGGAGCATGCAGGTATTTTGTGATTTTCACAATAAGGGTGCCGGTCAAAAGTGATAAGAAGGAGTGGCGGGATAAGTCTTCTGAAATAGCTTTCCAAGAAAAGGTTGATGAGGCTAAGGCCCAGGATAAGGAGGATCCCCACGCAAGCTTGATCTACCAGCCGGTGCATGTTACCGGAGAGCCCTTAAAGGGGGATGCTGAGCAGCCTTCTCGGGTTAAGGTGTACACAAAGCTTGGGGATGACTTCCTTGAAGAGCCAAGCTCGGCAGTTGGGGTTTCTTCCACGCCGGGGGAGGATGACGACTCAGCTCTTCCTGTGAGCTTTGAGGTTAAATCTCCTCACAAGCCTCCGCCGCTTCAGCCTGAGGGCAGTGACTCTGATGATGGTCAAGAGTTTGTGACTTTGGTGTGGGCGGAACCACTGAAGACCCGCCAGTCCTTCAATGTGCAGCTTGCGATCATGCGTGCTGTTGCCCGCCTCCGAGCGTTTGGCATTCCGTGCTTTCGCTTCCATAGCGACAGGGCTCGGGAATACTTGAGTGATTCGCTTGAAAGGTTTCTGGCCGAGCAGGGCATTCACTCCACAAGGACAGCCCCTGAGGATCATCCCTCCAACGGCGCTGCTGAGGTCGCGATTCGAGAGGTCAAGCGGGCGGCCCGCAGAGCTCTTCTTTCGGCAAATCTGCCTTCGTGCCACTGGCCTACGGCAGTGAGACATGCCGGAGAAGTGATGTGGCGTAAGGGCCTTGTTCGTTTGGGTGGTGCGGCCAGGTCTTTGCTGGCTTACGGCACGCCTGTTGAGGCTCGCAAGCGCCTTCGCCACAGGGATGTTTGGATGTCCCGAACTCGGTCTGGAGTTCTGATTGGCCCGGCTCCGCAGACCTTGTCTTCGTACCTTGTGCTGTTTGAGGATGACACGGTGTGCATTACGTCGGCGGTGTATCCTGTTGATTACCGGCCGCGCCCTCCGTCTGAGCCTGCTGAGCCTCCTCTTAGGCCGAAGCCCTTGTCGGGTTCCAGCACAGGTGCGTTTTTGCCGACGCCCCACTACCGTCACGGCTCCAAGGGCCCTTCTGTTCGGGTCACGTTGCAAGGCCCTTCTCTTCCTGCTGCGGGGGGGATGAGTGCCATAGCAGATTTTTCGGATTTTTACGGTTCGGGCGAATTTTCCCGTCGGAGTTTTTCTGAGTCTGAGGATTCCTTGAAAGCTGGTTCGGATGGGCCGGTTGACTTCCTGTCAGATTCGGCTGACCAATCACAGACAACTGGGATGCCGGAAGTTCCCCAGCAGGAGTTCTCGACCTTGCAAGGTGTCTATGAAGATCCAGCTGCTTCTGATGAGGTTTTTTCTTCTGAGGATAGAAGGGAATCCGGAGAGGACTCATGTTCAGAGAGCCCGGGGGAGATTGCAGAAACCCGTGAAGCGGATGACGCTCCGGGAATGCCGCCTACCAATTTGGGCGAGGGTTCAAGAAGCCCGGGGGAGCCTTGTGGGCATCGGGTTCTAAGGTTTGTTGGGCCGAACCCACAGCGTATGCCTGAGGCCAATCCAGCCCCTGGTGGCAGAAATGTGCAAGGCATCAACCGCCGCGTGCTTCAGGTCTCCTTTGCCTACATGTCTCCTGAGCAGTGGGCAGCGGTGTGTTATCTTGAAGAGGAGGAATTTGAACGTCAGATGTCGGACCTTACCCGTTTTTTGGATCCTGGTGATCCTGTTGATGGGGATACCGAAATCCCCTTCCTCCTTCTTCGGGGTACCTTGAGAAATCACCGCTGGGATCGCTATCCCACCATGGAATATCAAGATGCCGATGGCCGCCGGGCCCCTTTGTTTGAGGTTCTTCAGCACCATGATGATGATGGCTGGTATGCCGATGATAGCGCATTTGGGGATAGGCTAGTTGCCTTCACCAAGGGACTTTCGGACCTCTGAGATTCGGGTTGTAGTCTTGCGACTCTTTGAACAGGAGCCACTCAGTCCCTTGGCTGTGCCTGGTCCCATTGACCCGCCTCATATTCGGGCATTCCGAGTGAAGGACGAGGCCTCCAGTGCCTCAGGGTCCTGCAGCACTTCATCTAGCCAAGGCTATCCGCCTGCCGACCGTCCCGGCCAAGGCTATTCGCCACCCATGCCTGCTGAAGCTCCTGCGGTCCCAGACCCGTCTGGTTCGGTGTCCAGCTTTTCTTCAGGATCGCTGGATGTGTCAGCAACGGGCCCGGTGTCTTCTAGTTCGGGGAACACCTCCACTGTGGATACTTACTCCACCCTGCAATCTAGCATCGCTGAATGGACCATTGATCCTCCCAGCAATCCTCTCTGCCACATGCTCCAGTCAGGTGCACCGCTGAGCCCTTACATCATTCAGATTGGGCTGCAGGGCTGTGTGGAAGTTCTTGAGAATGATGATGATCTTGAAAAAACGTTGCATTATGCAATTCGGGGTTTCCAGTCCGAGCAACGAGGAGGCCGTATGCTTCCCAATGCCCTTGAGCCTAAGGTTGGCTGGATTGTGGTTGGAGCTATGATAGCCCGTTGGTTGGAGGATAATCCTGAAAGTGCGAGTGGCTATGATGTCCCTGAAAGGGTTAAAGCCATCGCCCTAGGAACAGCCACTTCCACGGTGCCTGAAGCCCCCGCCCCGTCGATGTATGACTTTTGGTTGAAAAAACTTGATCATAATGATAGAGCGGATGTGAATGTTCCAACTCCGCGATGGGACAGGCGGTATGCAGTGCTGAGTGATCGTGAAGCAGAGCGACTCCAACGTGGTCGTCCAGTCGATGAACCAGCCAGTGGCTGGAATGAGCTCGATCTGCAAAACTTTGGCTGTTTGGTTCACACCATGCACAACCCCGAGCATGCCTTTATGATCGGACTGTTTGTCCTTCGGGGTCGAAATTGGACCATCATGCCTGAGGTGCGTATGATTTGGGATCACCGGCATACCAATGCTCCCGTGCCCTATGTGTTTGGGTATCAGCCCGGTGGCTTGAATGATCAGAACACTGAGTACGAGCTTGACCTCCTTGGCGTCGTAGAAACAGAAAGGGTCGTCGACTTTGAAGGCGAACCCAATCGTCGCGCCTACCTTTACCGGGCCATCCGATATGGCCAACCTCCTCAGTGGTTTCTGATCGAAAGCAACATGATCTGGCAAGATCGGTTCCGCTCTTCTGAAGAGACCGGTCGCAACCCAGTTCCCAATCCCCAAGGGCCTCCGCCCTTTGAGAACAGGAGAGATCGTTCTCCGCGTCGGGACCCTGATGCTGGGCCTGCCTTTCGTGTTGCCCGGCTCTTCTCTAGCTCTGGTGGTTCCCCGTCGGCAACAGAAGCGTTCTCTCCGTGTGAGACCTTCTGCAAGCAGGTGCTTCTTGAAGGAAACTCCGTTTCCACGGGTCAGCTTGCAAATGCTATCCGTTTGTACGTTCAAGATAAGAAAGCGATCAATCGGATCGCGAAGCGCCCTCTTGCCGGGAACCAGAAAGATGAAGCTTCAGGAGCAACGCTCCCTCCTTGGTTCTGGTCTTCCGGGGCTTGGGTTTTCAGTGCTAAGGTTGGAATCACCAATACGGTGCATGAGTGCCCGTGGCTCACTCGCCTTCTTGCTGTGAGCCTCTTCCACCGCACTGGGCATTGCTTTGCCTCCGTTGGCTTTGTCGTCAACATTGAGTCAGAGATCCATCGGGACTCTCACAATTCCCTTGAGTCAATGAATGTGGTTTGGAATGTCGGGCAAGGCTCAGGTTCTCTTGAGGTCCGGGGCCATGAGATGCCTCTTCCGCCAAATGCCTGGCTTAGTTTCCCCCCGCGTGATCTCCATAAGTCTGGAAGTTGGGAAGGAGATAAAATCCTGGTTTTGGGCTACACCCCTAGATCTCTTGAAAAGTTAACTTCTTCGGATCTTCTAAGCTTGAGATGGGTGAATATGCCAATCCAGGACCTTGAGCCTCTGTCGTCGTCTTCCGTCATCGGAGAACCCTCTCCTGGAGACGGCGTGTCGAAGTTGCTTCCAGATGAGTGTGATTCAGGTGAAGAGGAAGCAGACCTCCCGGCAGAGGAATCTTGGAGTCAGGTGACTCAGGGATATGAGCAAATGCACCAAGCAGTGACGCATTTCTTGAAGTCACTGCAACGATCTGTTGTGGGCGCTTCTTCTGAAGGCCCAGTTGACCCTATCACCTTGCAGGCGATGCGCGAAGCTTCCTCCCTTCGAAATGAGTTGGGCTGGCATCTAGAACTTGCGCGCCTGTATGGCTGCGATGAGCCTGTCAGTTCCTCCTCGTGGAGGGTGTGTGCCGCTGCCCCTGCAGCAGAACATCTTGAGTCTCAGCCCTTGCTGCATACCCGCATCGTCTCGAATGAGGAAGTCCGTGAGAAACTGCATGAATGGCGGGATGCCATGAAAGCAGAGTGCGATTCCTTGATTTCGAAGGGTGCTGTTGAGCTTGTGGCAGATAGTCAAGTTGAAAAATGGATTTTAGATGGTGAAGATGTAGAGATCCTCCCCGGCCGGGGTGTTGCCACTGAAAAGCCCCCTGTAGCTCCCGGATCCACTAAGAGAAATAAGTATAGAGCTGTAATTTGCGGCAATTTTCAAAAGTGGTCCGAGGAAAGGGCGGCAGAGTCCTTCTATGCCGGAGGAGCGGATTCTCTTTCGATCCGCACTGCCTTGAGATGGGCGGGCATGAGGAAGCACGGTGGTTCAGGAACTGATGTCAAGACTGCCTTCCTCAACGCTCCTCTTGATGAGCAGGAGGCAGAGTATCTGATCTGCAATCCACCTAAGGTGCTGTATGCCGCGGGAGTTATCCCGAGGGGCTATAAGTGGAGAGTCCACGGTGCTCTCTACGGACTCCAGACCTCGCCTCGTGCTTGGTCCCGCCTCCGGGACAAAACCTGCAGAGTCCTGACCTGGACCGTTGATGGCGAGAACCGCCACTTGCAACAGTGTGTTGCTGACCCCAACATTTGGCTCGTCAAGTCCCCTTGCGGTGAGACTGTTGCCTTGATGTGTTGGTATGTCGATGACCTCCTAGTGTTAGGACCTTGGTCGGAGCGATCTGCTCTTCTTGAGAAAATCAAGGCCACATGGGAGTGCAGCGCATTCACGCATACTGAAAATGGCCCAGTTGAATATTGCGGTCTCGAGATTTCGGAGTCTGCTGATGGTCTCTTGATTGGGCAGACCAAGTACATCAAGGAACTCTTGAAGAGGCATAACGTGCAGGGGAGTGCCAAGTCTCCATGTGCCGCGTGGTCAGCCAACTTCGATGATGGCGAAAGCCGTGATGACCCGGTTGATCCGGAAGCGGTTAAGGCCGCTCAAAGCATAACTGGTGAGCTACTGTGGCTCTCAGTTCGAGCGCGCCCCGAGCTGTCTTTTCCAGTCAGCCGCATGGCACAGTTGACCACTAAGAGGCCAAAGGATGCGCTAAGCATTGGGCAGGGAGTGTTGCGTTTCTTGAATTCTTCACCCTCCCAGTGCATTGTGTATGGCCCTCCTCCTGGTGACTGCGGGGCCTCTCAACAGTATCCGAGGCCGGTCGTCGAAACGACCTTGCATGCTTTTGCAGATGCCTCTTTTGGGCCAAGTTCAGGCAGGTCCCACCAGGGTCTGTTAGTGTGCTGGGCTGGAGCTCCGCTCCACTGGGAATCTGGCCGCCAGACGCTGACTGCTCTTTCAACTGCTGAGAGCGAGCTGATCAGCTACGTCTGTGTTGTGCAAGCAGCTGAAGCTGTTGAGGCCTTGATTGGGGAGATCTTTCCAGAGCCCCTTACTCGATCCCTCTTCGGAGATAATTCTTCAGCAATAAGCATTGTAAGCGGCCCCCCAACTTCCTGGAGATCCCGCCACTTAAGACTTAGGTCCCATGCCCTACGCGAAAGGATCGAAAATGGTGTTTGGACTGTTTACCACTTAAGCGGCTTGCTGATGCCCGCCGATATCCTTACAAAGGCGATGGCAGCCTCAAAGTTCGGCGACATGTTGCCGTTTTTAGGGGTTAAGAATCCGTCTGAGGATTGTAGGTTGCGGCTAGCTGCAGTGCTGGCATGCTGTGCCCTGCTTCTGAAAGGGCAAGGCTCTCCTGAGCCTGAGCGTTGGGGTTGGGTTATAGTGTACCTTACGGTTGTGATCTTAGCCTACGAGGGTTTTAGGTCCTTCCTTAGGAGGTTCTTAGGCTTAGTTGCGTATTTGTTCCCAGGCCTCGGTGCTCGATTTCCCGGGGTTCTGGATGTGCATTCCTCGCCCGATTCTGGGACCACGCAGCAGCCTGCCGCAAGCACCCCGCCTTCCTCCTTCACTCAGTTGCCAGCTCCTGGTGCTCGACTTCCCAGGGGTTCGTCCTCCTCCATCGGTGCTCGACTTCCCGGTGGAGCCCCTTCATCCTCTAGATCTCCTTCGAATCTCCGATCTATCGGAGTGAATACCAATCCTGAGGACTACGCTCCTCTTCCTCCTGTTCTTCCCGCTGCCCCTGCAGCTGCCTACCGTCACCCAATCGACCTGGTGAGCCATTCTACCTCCAGCGGCTCCCACTGGCATCAAAATCCCGAGTGCTACCATCTCCGAAACCGGGATCATTCATCACTGCTTCCGTGCAGTGACTGTGTGGTTGGCCGCACGGTCTTCCATACCAATCTCCCTACTGGACTTCGACGCCGCAGGGGAGGGTGAGTGATGGACTTCAAGGCAACCAGTGCCTTGCAGGCTACCATAGCCTCCGAGCACCAACTCGTTAAACTGATCCGCTGCCTGCCGGCCTGCACTTTTGCAGCGGCCTGTAAGTGTCGCTTTCTTCCTCATGGCTGGACTTAGCCTTCCTTCGGGGCTAGTCAGGCCCTCGACTTCTTTCTTCCCTCCTCGCCGTGCCACCATCCGTCCTTTCCCTTGTGGATTTTTGAGGCGGTACCGCGGGGTTAAAGGGGCTTTTAAGCTACTAGTCTTCAGACTTTATCCTTGTTTGAATCTTTCGAAAGGCCTTGAGCTCTAAGACAATGGCTCCATGACTCCTGAACGGATGGATCCCTCGAATGAGGTAGAAGTCCACAGGGTCTAGACAGACCATTAGGCTTTGCGAAGCGCAAAGGGGGGAGTGTTGGAGTGATTTCAGCATGAGCCCCTGCGCAGAATGACACACATGCAGGCCTTTTTGCTCAGCGTATATAAAGTTGTTGCGTGCCTTTTGGGGTGTAAGTTCAGGGTTGAGCCTAGAGTCCAAAGCTTAGGTAGCCAGGTTCCTCTAAAGGCCCTTCCTCGGTAGCACCTCGAAAAGACTAATTATTAAGGCCCCTATATTATCTGGTGCTGGGTTGGTTTTCCGAGCCCGTCGGCCCGTGACACCGTTACTCTTCAGGAAACCCAGCAAACGGTGCTGGAAGTTTCATGCTTCGCTGCTGGATCCCGCAAAACCTAGTTACCTAGCAACATGCACAGATGTGCACAGTGCACCTTTCCTTCATCAACAGATCAGACACTTCTGCTGGTTTGCGGAGAGGAGATAGATGAGGAAAACGATTGCCACCTGCGAGACATGCTCTGCAGAAGCTGTGATGCCAAGCGATGCCCCAAGCCTTCTTCTTACTGGGTCCTACTGAGTTGAGATTAGACTTTCACGTTGCGCTGGAACTGAACCGGAGACTGTGCAATTGGAGGGAGGGGAGCTGCAGCAGGCAGGTTGGATGACGCGCCAAGGGCAGTGCGATGACGCCTAATATAGCAAACTGAGTTCGTACAGTTGGATGTCAGATGCGGGCACACACGCTACTTTGTAAACTTGAAGCTGTGCACATGAAATTATCACCCATGGCCTTGTCCACCAAGTTGTTGGCATCCGCCATGGTGCGCCAGCAGATGCCGCAGATGTACTGAAAACAATCGCGATCCACTTCGTGCTTGTGATACTCCACGATCACCTTGGCTGGCCATGCTTGCGGAGTAGGAAGCGGAACTACGGTCAAGGAGTCAAGAAGTTTGCACACGCAACGCGAACAAGAACAACAACACATCCTAGAGTGTCGAGCTGATCAAGTCGTGTCACGGAGAAGCCCCACTCTTTGAAGATCTCGCGGAAGATGATAAAGCCTTGGTGGAAGGACGGCGCATCTGTCTCCTTTGACTGACTCGGCAGCTACAAGCAGCCCATCTCCTCCTGCCTACAAAATTCTGCGTCCCTTTGTTTCATCCCAATAACCAACCGTGTACCTGCTTAGGAAGTCGCCTCCAGCCAGGGGTAGCTCCTTGTCACCGAACTCCCCCGCTGCAGCTTTGGCTTGCAGCCGCTTCTTGAATTCCTGCTGAGTCTCCAGCCGAGTCTTAACTGGAGCTGTGTGTGAGAATGGCGACAGGCCCCTAGATCCTTCCAATGGCCCCACACAGCGGCAACACTTACGTAAACATGCCTCGTTCCCTGTGGCCTTCAAGCACTCATGACCACTCATGCGGCACGATCTGGCTTGATTGCACGGCTTGGTAGCGCCTTGGTGATGTTGCTCAGATCTCGCTGCAACACTGTGCAGCGACCCGGAAGCACTGTAAATGGCTCGAAGTTGTCCCGCTGGAGACCTCACTATGGCATACGTGCGATGGATTGCTGCTATACCTCTTAATTGCATAGCCAAAAAAAAGTATCGTGTTGTTGATCACAGGGGCTGCTGAGGTAGGGTGCCGCAGGTCTTCCTGGCTTGGTTGGCCTGTCGGGATCCTCATTGCTGGACTCCTGGCATTGCGAAGTTGGCAAACCCAGATGCAGTTCGGGCCATGCTCACCCAGCAATAAAATTATCTGAACCAGCTGAACGCTCGGAAGCTGGACATTCAGCCGAACTCAACCTGTCAGCCTTCCGTGGAACGTCATGTGGTGCTTGCCTAGCTTGGAGTCACAGGCACACATGCGGGCCCCCGAAGACTGGATATCCGCAAGGCTCCTCGCTCTTCACATCCTTCACCGCATTGTCATTCAAGACCTCACGCGATAGGAAACTGGTTTTACTGAACATCAGGACAAGACCCGAGTCCTGCAAGCACGCTGACTAGATTCAGATGTCCTAGTGGGAATCCGAATCCCGTGTCCAGCCCTCAGGATGGGAGCATTGTGGACACAGACGGACCCTCTACTTCACACGACAGAAGATCAGTCTGGATCGGTGCAGGAGTTGGGCCCTGCATGATCTTGAGCGTCGACCTCTTCCCCAATGAGATATCCCACTCGCGGGCCTTGGACGTCTTCCGGCGACCGGGACCGGGCCGGACCTTGGCCTTGGCCTTGGCCTTTGCTTTGGCCTTTGCTTTGGCCTTCGCTCTCTTCGCCTTCTCTTCTTTCCCTGCCTTGGCCCTGCCGGCCTTGGCCTTGGCCTTGGCTTCGGACTTGGCTTTGGCCTTGCCCTTGGCTGCAGCACTACCTTCGCCTCGGATGCAGCCCATGCTGGGCATAATGATCGCACTTTGTCACGCTCTAGCTTGAGATGCATGCAAGAATGCAGACAATCATCTCTCCAATCGTCCCAGCTGCGAGGTGGTGCTTTGGCCTTGGCTTTGGGTGCAGCTTTCGCTTTTGCACCCTCCTCGCCGTCGGGCTCGCTCGCCGGCGCCATTTTCCATAGCTACGGCTACGGCGTCTGATTCAGTTCCCTACGTTTCCTTGTGCATAAGATCGAAATTCTGATACTAATAACACTAGTAGGAGTCGGCAGCAGATGGGCATGTGTCATTTGGAAACTACATGGTTTCACCGATAAGATGCCACGAACACTGAACTCTCTTTTCCATCTTACAGTAGATATACACACAGTCATGCAGGCACGTGATCGTCATCGTCGTGGTATTGTCTTCGTCGCCGAAGCAGTAGTACAAGTAGTGGTAGTCGTCGTCGTCGTCATGGTGGTGGTGGTGGTGGTATTAGTCCAAGTACTAAGGACTCGTAATGACCCACCTAGCACGGCACTGCCGGCTCCGTGGGGCTCTATATGAGCAACGACGACTGGATACATGCATTCTCCACTCGAATTCGCAACCCTCGAATAGCACAGGCCTCTCTTTAGCAAAACACACAAAACAGAAGTTAAGGCCACGAGTGCTCACAGGCCTGCATTACTCAGAACTCAATACTGTACCTCACAGGATTGGGCTTTTTTGTCACCCACCTCAGGATTGGGCTTAGTGGTAGTAGTACTAGTAGTAGCAGTAGCAGCAGCAACCGCAGTGGCAGTAGTAGTCGTAATAGTAGTCGTCATAGTAGCTGTACTCGTAGTAGCAGTAGTAGTAGTAGTCGTCGTGGTGGTGGTGGTGGTGGTGGTGGCAGTGGTAATGGTAGTAGGAGAAGGTGTAGGTAGTGGCAGGTGGTAAACGTAGTACTAATAGTCATGGTGGTTGTGGTGGTGGTGGGAGACCTTGTCGTCGTCGTAGCAGCGGGTGCAGTGGTAGTATTAGTAGCAGCAGCAGTAGCAGCAGCAGTAGCAGGAGCGGGAGCGGGAGCGGGAGCAGCAGCAGCAGTAGCAGCAGTAGCAGCAGCAGCAGCAGCAGCAGTAGTAGTAGTAGTAGTAGTAGTAGCACCAGCAGCAAGGGAAGTTGTTGTTGTTGCTGTTGCTGCGGAACTGCTTCTGGTTTCTGCTGCAGTTGCAGCTGCTGGGGTTGAGGTGACAGTGTGCATAATGCTCTTGTTTCTGCTGCTTCTGCGTGGTCCTGGTCGTGTGCTCGGACAGAACTGAGCGAGCTTGAGCTTGAGCAGTCGCCGGAAGAGCCTTTACTGATTGCCTTCTGGCTTTCGCAAACAGCCGGATCTCCGTTCCTCATAGCCTGGACTTTCTCTGTCGCATAGTGAGTTGCTCCCTCCAGCTTCGTCGAGCTATTCGTCATCATCACTTTCAATGACACGGCGCTTCCGGCTGGCAGAGCCGGTGGCATCTTTTCTCAACTTGCCTTAGCTGCGGAAGTGAGTGACGTTGGTGATGAACAGTTGCTGTACAACCGTTGGGCCTCTTTACTTGTCAGGACTCCGACTTGCAAGTCGCTCCGATTTTATTGCCTCCTGCCAGTGAGGAAAGGGGTCGGGTCGTAGGCTTCCAAATAGTTTCGCGATGTCTGGTCTGCACCTACAGGAGAGAGGGATGACTCTGGGATGACGCCAACTTCGTGGCACCAATTCCCCACAATTTCGTCAGCTTCTGTCTTCCTTTTGGCGCGTTGGGTGTAGGCTCACCGGGCAAAGCGCTCTCGTCAACTTCTGCACGATCCCAGCTACAGTAGACGTGTTGTTTTCGCGGCGTAAACCGACGAACATGTGTCTGTGTGTGGGTGTGTGTCTTGGCATAGCACCTCGAGGGCCCTCCAACTGCTACAGTAAGCCAGTAAGCTACGCTAAGCTGCCACAGGGGAGCTCAGACAGTTGCAAATGGGAGCCGGGAGGCACTGAATTCGCACCGGAACTCCTGTGACGCTGAAGTCAGGGGCACGCACCTCACCATGCCAACCAGACGTTCGGCTGCAGTTGAACAACTCACCCTCACCAAACAGATTCCAAATGGGACAATATGCTGGCTGGCTCTTCAAGACGTTCTGACTTGCGACCTTCTCTCGACAACACCTTGCATCTCGCACTGGTTTGCCTAACGGCTCAGATCTTCCCTCCAGACTGTCGCATGAGACTTTGCAGGACATGAGGGAAATGCCATTGCTGCCGGATGGATAGGGCTAGTCCAGCAGTCCCGACCTCCGCATCCCCGATTTCCAGGAACTGGTTCCGGCCGGCGAAGCTGAACGACTCAAGACTTCCCCGCCTTAGAGGAGGGCCAAAGGCCGAAGCGGCCGAAACTCTCAACAGCACGGACACCAGCCTACTAGAATTTGCGACACGTATAAATGGCCAGTCATCTGTTGCAGTAAATAGCCCGAAGCATTTGGACTCCCAAACGGCATATGTGCGAACCCATGCTAAGATTTGCTAAGTGTCGGCACTCCTCCGATTATGAAACTCCATGCTTTGTTGGAAAATCTCATGGCATGCAGTCATGAAGGAGTGACGTAGGGAGCTCTTCGCTGTCCTGTCGAACAACCGCACCTGCCGCAGAACACAACTGGTCCCAAAACAGCCAGAAAGCGAAACCCACCGCGTGAATGCTCTGAAATTTCCGACACATCGCAGAGCCCCTGAAACGATGGCCGAGCGTCACATCAACTTCCCACATGCGTGGAAGCTTGGACATCTCCTTGAACCAGGCCTCTCGAGAAACAAGTAATCAAGACCATCCGGGTAACGAGAGGGAAGGGTAGTTTTGGGAAGCTGTGCATGGACTGTAAACAAGCTCCGCCCAAGTAAAAGGTAGGATCGCCGCTCAAAAAGTGACTGCAGGCCTTGTGGAAGTTCTGAAGTAGAAGTTCCTCCTCTTCTGAAGACACGCTGGCCCCCATGTCCTGCAGGACCTGCGGTCAACTTCAGGATCAAGTCATGCAGGAGCCAGCTTTCTCAAGCTTGCAACACCACGGGCGGAGTTTCCGCTTTGTGATCAAGTGACAGGGATGGGGCTCATGCCAAATCGTGACATCGAGGCACCTCAGTCAGGCACTCGCCCAGGATCGATGCCATTGCAGGGGTCTTGATCGTTGGCAGCTCTTCTCGGTCTTCTGCTTCCTCGTCCTTTACCTCTATCACTGCAGCTTCCTCCGCACGTGGGGATGCCGGGCTGGACGCAGGCGCTAGCGCCATGGCAAGCAAGAGGACAGCCTCTCCTTCACGGGGTGGCCTTGGAGATTCTGTTGCCTTGCACCGTGGAGAAGTCGATGCTGATGATTTGGTGCTGCTCGTCACGGGTCCACAGCGCACTTTGGCCGGAGCTGCGAGAATACGCTGCCAAGGCGATTCGCGATTACAGCACGATCCTAAAGCCCCGAGTCACAAGAAGCTTCGCAATGTCTTGTGTCACAGTTCGACCCGGAAACGGCTTCTTAATGGCGCTGCACCGAAGTCCTTTTCGCACCAAGCTCTAAACTCCAGGATGGCGAAGAGAACAGCTCCTTACGTCCTGGAGTACACCAATGTCATGCATGCTTGGTTGATCATCCAGACAGCCTCCTTTATCTACAGCCAACCTTGTCCCCATCTAGGAGAACTCTACTTTACTCATTTCCTCCTGGCCCGAAAGCACTGCAATACAGGCTTTTTCTTCACTCTGCTTGCGGGAATCCCGAGTGCAAGATCGGAAATGCTCTGGTTCTCAAACTACCAGAGAAGCAAAAATCCGAATACAAGCCGGGCACCTGTGCACTTGTGCACATCTCCCGTAGGATGTGAGAGCTACTTTGGCAATGGGATGCTGCACAGCATCCTAAAGAATGCGGGCCAACTGCCGCTGTCCCACTGATCACAGCCTCTTTCTTGACTGCACATGTATGATATTACTCCGACGATGACGTGAGCCATTGCTTCTAAACGTGCCCCTCGTTTCCCCACCGTTGCACACAGTCTTGCGCTGTTAGGTTTGGAACTTGATGCATCGACCTCCCATCTGCTTTAGGCCGTCTAGGCATCTAGTATCAGGTGGCTTCAGTCCACGCTCACGGACACTGGCGCGGGCCTTTGGATGAGGAGACTTCCGGGTGCTTGGCAAGTGTGCCGCAGCATCTTGCAGTGAGGCCGCGGCTTGCTCTCTGTTTCTTTTGCGTTGGACTCCTCCCCAAGCATTGGCTTCAACAGCAACGAGCGACTTTGGAAACAGGTCTGTCCTGTGAGAAGACCCGCTGATGATCCTGGGCAGGCCAGCAAACTCTCGGCTTCAGGGAGCTGAGTGCCGTCTTCATGTATCATGTGAAGAGTCAGGAGTCCTTCATAATGTCGAGAACGAAACCCAGCTGGCGTTGTCTCTGGGCGTTGGTGTAGAGGCTGGCATGGGTCAGAGCACCAAAGCTGCAATGCGTGGACAAGGGCAGCCGCATGGACACCCAAGCGGATCCAGGCCAGGCCCACTCCAGCACCTGATCCTTCGACAGACCTCGAGCCATGTCTTCCTCTGTCAAGTGACGACCTGCACGTGATTTCAGTCGGAGATCCAGCTGCAAGGCCCGAAGCAAGCACCTCCGTTCGGTGCTGCAGCAATGATGAGGGAGTTGAAGGCTTCTTCCTCAGCTCTGTGAATTCGTCAGCATGACGCGGCAACCACTGAGATCATTTGTTGAGGACTGAAGAAAACAAGATGCAGAATTTTGCCCGGATGATGCATGGACTGGGTATCTGAGTTCCGCCACGCCCATTTCAGTTCCCTCTGTGGCGAGCTGTACAGCTGAAGTTTCCTTGAAGTTCCAGAAGCCGTCCTGGAGGGGGCGTGCAGACTACACGTACAAGATAGGCCAAGCAAGAAAAACACGTATGTATCCTTCTCTGACGCATTCATTAGCTTCACAGTGCCCAGAAAAAAAACCTCGCGTGCCGGCCTTGTCCTGATCGAAATGAAGGAAGAGCTCCTTGCTTCCAGAGCTGTGCTGACTCAATGACTCCTCAAGTGTGGGTTGTCCTCCGCCAGCTTGAGGGTTTCATTGGTTTTTGTCACATTCGCCCACAAGTCCTGCCATGATTCACACCATGCAGAGATTCCATGCCAAAGACCCCTCCAACAGCCTAAGCTCCAAGGCGAATACTGGCATCCCTGGGTCCCTGCCTGCGCAGTGTTGCCTGCACCAATCTGGATCAAGGGAGCCTTGTATCTCGCCGTCTCTTCCGCCCACACGGATGTCATGGCCAGAGCCGGCCTGGATGAGGTCCGGGTTGCTCTGGTAAAGAGACCAGACATCGTCTTCTGAGCCTGGAAGGCACATGGTGGCCCCATCAGGGCCATCCTGTGTGACTCGCGTGCCTGCGACGCTGCTGTCGTGGCCTTCTTGCAGCGCCTTCAGCAAGGCCTGCTCGCAGCCCTACTCAGCAAATCTCAGTATCAACAAGGATCAGGCTGTGTTTGGAACCGCATGCAGCCATGATCAGCCATGCCATGACATTCCATGCCCGAGGGATCCTCGGCTAGGGCTGTCTCACTCCCGGCTTTTGCCAGCGCATCGTCCTGCCAAGAGGCTTTGAATCTTGTGCACACTCACACGCGAGCTACACTCCACTGCAATGGTCAGATTTGCCGACAGGCTCTGCATTTATTTTTTGGATGGACCTTAAAGTGTTTTTGATGTTGGCGCAAGAAGTGCTACCATGTTACATCGAGGAGGCACTCTGCCGCTGTCCGAAATGTCGACGCTGCGCAGGTTCTGCATGCCGTCAAACCTTGGCAGGCCCAAGCTGCAGAAGACTCGCACACGTACCTCTGGGATCCTGCAGGTGCCAGAACGGTGCCGACATGGAAACCCTGTCGAGCTCCTGGCGTGACTGTTGCAGCGCCGTCCAATGCTGACGCCTGCGATTCGTGGGTCAGATTTGTGCATCTCTTTCGATGACTATGGCCTGCGGAAGTGACCTTCTTTCTGAACAAGGCTCGTCCAAACATCGCATCTTACTGACACCGTAATGATGAGTGACTAATCATTGCAAGAAATCACGAACAGTGCCGTGCCTTGAACTCGCTCTGCTCCATCCGGACCCCAAGCTCTTTCATATCGTGACCGGCTGCAACCTGTGCCTCGAACAGTCTTGGGGCTTGGAACTTCAATGCACGTGCCATCATGTTGGCTGGGCTGCAAAAGTGATTTTGCATGCAGAACTGGCAGACCCTTGCCGTTGCCTGGATCAACTTCAGGCTCGCTTTGGACTGCAGGGCCTGGAAGCACTGCCAACATGCATCGCAAACTGTCGTGCAGGCTCTGGTAGACCAGAGTCAATCTTTGGAAGCCGTCTGGTGAGGCAACAGGGGTTGGACACAGCGATTGGCTCGGCCCTGGCTTCTGTAAGCCATCAACGCCGGTGACCACTTTGTTTGAATGTTCTTGCTACCTGCCTCGCCGACTAGGCCACACAGTGGCCAACAGTCCCGGAAAAACATGTTTCCGGCTACAAGAGTTGCTCAACATGCGCATCTTCTGAGATTGCGAGAATGTGCTATCAATAAACTGTGAGGATGCTATGAGGTGCTCGTGTGCACGGAAACAGCAACTGAACTTTTCAAGATCATATTCGGGTAAGTGAACCCTCGGTGCACACCTCCATTCTCCATAAATTCAACTACTGAACTGCAATACGTGTTTGGATTTTGGGCACTTCGAGCAGCCAGCCGGAAGTTCAGATGAGGACGCAGGCCGGGAGACACACCTGCCCCAGGTGAGCACAGGAGGGTTCCGAAGCATGGGCTGGGGTTTAGTCAGTTTAGTCCAGCACCACACGTTACCATCTTGCCCAAGCACCTTCTCCTCGGTGGTGCGTGGATCGCGGAGCCGGAAAAAGCCACCTCACAGGACATTCGGCAAATCCACTCTGCGACGGGCCCCCGGCCATCCAGCACTGGCAATACCAATGCCAGAAGCTATGACGACGACCGTGACTGCTGCACCGCTGCCAATTGCACTCAGAAGTACACCAACAGCGACCCTGACTGCGATCTGATCCCTTCCATAAGCTGCCAATACTGTTCGTGCTCGTGCATCTCACGTCCCCTTAAAGCTCAATGGTGTCACATATGCAGCACCGGTATGTGAGCAATGTGCACCGGTGAAAGTGCTCCTACCCCTTCCCGTCAACGGTCCAAGAGCTCGACGGCGAGTTGCGCGAGCATCGGGGACAAAGCAGCCTTGCCAGCATGGCGAGCGCGTGAACACACTTCCCTGTGCAGCAGTTGGGGAGCTGACGGCCAGAAGGCAGTGCCCCAGTCTTCGACGAAAGCCCGGGGCAACTCCTGTCAAAGGCGTGCTCTGCCAGTCGACCAGGCTAGCACTGCGGCTTCCATGTTCCCATGTGGAAGAAGGCACTTCACGCAGCTTTGCGATAGATGCGGCATGCCCCTTACAAGGTAAAAGACTCTTGCGGTGGCGTCAACAAGCCGTCAACACCCCACAGCATTAAGAGTCCTCTCTCGCGCATGTTGCTCCCTTTGGAGTCTTCGAATTGAACATGCTGCGGCCATCACTTCGCAGCGTAAGTGTGTTCTCAGAATACGAAGTGAATGTTCGAATTCGGAGCAGGCCTGTTGCCGACATTCTGTACTTCAGCGGTCCTGCTGAAACGACAGTCAGTGTACTTCTCAACTGCTTGAGACTGTGTCACTCAAGATGAAAAACATGCAACCACGCCCCATCTCTAGATCAAAGGGGCGAGAAGGTTTATGCTAATTACGTCTCCGCGACTCTGCACGTCGCGTCCACAAGGCTAATTTGCGAAGCCTTGTGGAGAAAGCCCGCGATCAAGCACCGCCAAGCTTGCTGTTGCGAAGTGCTCCTGATTGTACAACCTGGAGTATGAGATCTGTGGCCCGCCGGACACCACCTTGGACGAGAATGCACCACAAGAGCCGTGCCGGCACTTTATGAATGCAGTTCGACTGTCACAGATAAAGTGCCGACAACCCCCCCTCTCCCATGCGGTCTTCGTACCCTTCTGCCTTCCGCTTAGAATCCAGCTGTTGTCTGAGCCAATGAGAGCACCGCTTCTGCCGGGATGTTTTCGAAGAGATTTTGTTATGTTTTACTTTCGAGCTCTGAAACCAGTTGTGTTCATGTCCTGAATTGGTCAAGGCACCTGCAGACTGCATCTTCAAAGAGCACTCGTTGGCTTTGGTCTTGAACTCCGGGTTCCTGCGGACCTCTTCGACTGCTGCCGCAACGTCGCATCGGTACTTGGCAGCCACCTGTGAGGCCTCGCTCAGATCGCACATAGGTCGCTCGATTTGCAGGCCGACACCAAGCTGGACAGCCTTCTGAGCATTGACAGGTTGGTCAGCAAATCCTGGGCAAACGACGACCGGAGCACCAGTGCTCAGGGATTCCATGAAGCTGTTTTGGCCTCCATGTGTCAGGAACAAGTCCACGCCCTCCTTTAAGATGTCAACTTGTGGCATGACGGGCAAGCATACGGCGTTCGCCGGAGCCATGAGGTTCTCAAGTGCATCTGGCTGGGGTCCCAAAGAGACCAACAGCAGCGGAGCGCCGCCAGCGTTGTCTGTGCCGAAGGCATCGAAAAGACCACCCCAGGCGGCTTGGCAAAGCTCTTTGCCGGTCAAGCCCTGAAAAACTCCATCGACGGACCTTGGCTATTCCTCAGACCCTCTTCGAAAGCATTTTGCGCTCTCTGCCCATGCTTACGAACTCTTTCGAACAAGACCTACAAGGAGGTGTGCAGCCGGGTGGCATGTGGTTGGCCCAGCCCACTTCTGGGCTGTCTCCTGTAATTACCGTTCCCATGCTCGCAAAGATCACCTCCCGACCCTCTGCGCGGGCCTTGCGAATCAAGGCTACGGGGTCGATGGCATCGGCGATTTGTGCAGATTGCGCTGGCTGCGGCGTCGTCTCAAGCCCCTTGGTAGACTCGGCGTCTTTCTGGAACTTGTGCCCTGCCGCTCGCTTGGCTCCGGCTTTATCGAGCAGCGGCCCGACGAAGACAAACTCCGTTTGGGCTTCTTCGTAGATCTTCTCCAGCTCCGGTGACAAGGGATCCGCCAAGAAGTCAACGGTGGTGACCAGTGTCAGTGCCGATTGCTTTGCGACCACCGACATTCCTACTGGTGCCATTTCCTCATCGAGCTCGATCTCTAAGCCATATTTGGCCCTCAAGCGATCAACAGCGTCAAGCAGAGGTTGATAGGCACGGCGCTCCTGAGGATCAAGGGCAAGCATTCTCCGGAGCAGTCTTTTCATCTAGAGATCCTACGAATGCTCCAGCCTTACTGGTAGCCGCTAGCCTTTGGCTCAGCTCTCCTTCAGGCACCGCTCAGTGGTGTAGCCCATCTTTTCCAGCCATTCCAAAGTCGCCAAACGCAGGCTTCCCGGCCCAGCAGTTGTCATGATACCGACGCATGGAATGCCAAGAATCTGGGCGGCCCAGCAGGCCTCCTTGTTCATCAGAGGGCACAGCACGACCACATCTACACCGACTTTTTCAAGCCAGCGTAGAATGCCAGGCAACATCATCTCCTGCATAATTTCCCGGATCTTGAACATCGCGACAAACAGAGGGTCCTGATCCAAGCCAAACTCCTTTTGAAGGTCCGACAAGCATCCGAAGATGTCAACATTTCTTCCTTCATACATCTCCGGCAGCGCTTCGATCTCCGAATGGAAGGTGGCCCCCGTGTCTTCAATGGCATCCTTCATCTGCTCCCTGCAGAGGTAGTGGACTTCCTGGCCTTCCTCTACCAAGGTACGTGCGACGGGCAGAGAGGGGTTGATGTGGCCCGAGGCCATGGGAAAGATGAAGCCAAACTTCCGTGCAGGGGCGACCATCCTGACAGCTGCGCTGCGCCGCTACGTAGCGACGTAGGTCCTAGGTCGGGCTGAGCTTTCCTTTGAGAGCTGAAAATGCGCTGGCAGAACGATGTGGACAAAGCAGGCGCAGCAGAGTGCATTTGCACAAACGCTTGAAGACTTTCTCAGCTGCAGAACACGAAGCCACCCTCGAGACAGCAGATGGCCTCGTGTTCCTTGCGCCATGATCCTGAAATAAGGCTTGCAGGCCCAAAATCACACGCTGAGCTTGCTGGCGATTGTGCAACTCCACCACAGTGCTTGATTGTCGATGTGGTGTCAGGTTTTCGAGTTTTCGCTGCTCTATGAAGTGCGCAGGTTTATAGCCACGGCTTCCTCTCAAGCAGGCCAGGGCCTTGAACCAAGTTGCCCCCGCACGATGGTTGTATGCAAAAAACAGACGTCACTACCTACACTCCTTGATGACAGCATGCAGAGCATTCGGCGCAGCTTGAAGTTCGTGCATGAACAAGGCCGAAGCGCGAACTCAGAAAGCCAGCAAACGCAGTTTTCATGACCAGCAAGCGGTTGGAACCGCAGTGCAGACCGCATGAGCTGCTGTCCTGCAACGATCATGGCTTTGTCCGAGCGGCACATCTTAAACTACGCTAGTTATGGCTTATGCCTCTGCCCCACGATACCCCGATGTACACACCGCAAGCTGCGGTAAGCTGATTTCCTACAGTCTTGGTCTTGGCACTTCCGTGGGTTGAGCTCCCGACCGCATCGTTCAACGCTCCCAGATCGACTGCTTGCCCTTGTGCCGGTTATCCACTCTGAGCCGGGCCCCACCAATCCAGCACTGACAATACCAATGCCAGAAACAGCGGCACCATCACTACTATGACGACGACCGTGACTGCTGCGCCGCCGCCAATTGCTCTCCGAAGTGCACCAGCAGCGGCATCGACTAAAGCGACCCTGACTGCGATCTGACCCCTTCCATAAGCTGCCAATACTGTTCGTGCTCGTGCATCTCACGTCCCCTTAAAGCTCAATGGTATCACATTTGCTGCACCGGTATGTGAGCAATGTGCACCGGTGAAAGTGCTCCTACCCCTTCCCGTCAACGGTCCAAGAGCTCGACGGCGAGTTGCGCGAGTATCGGGGACAAAGCAGCCTTGCCAGCATGGCGAGCGCGTGAACACACTTCCCTGTCCAGCAGTTGGGGAGCTGACGGCCAGAAGGCAGTGCCCCAGTCTTCGACGAAAGCCCGGGGCAACTCCTGTCAACGGCGCGCTCTGCCAGTCGACACGCAGTCTCAAAAGACGGCACTCCAGGCTAGCACTGCGGCTTCCATTTTCCCATGTGGAGGAAGGCACTTCACGCAGCTATGCGATAGACGCGGCATGCCCCTTACAAGGTAAATGACTCTTGCGGTGGCGTCAACAAGCCGTCAACACCCCACAGCATTAAGAGTCCTCTCTCGCGCATGTTGCTCCCTTTGGAGTCTTCGAATTGACCATGCTGCGGCCATCACTTCGCAGCGTAAGTGTGTTCTCAGAATACGAAGTGAATGTTCGAATTCGGAGCAGGCCTGTTGCCGACATTCTGTACTTCAGCGGTCCTGCTGAAACGACAGTCAGTGTACTACTCAACTGCTTGAAGCGAATCTAAGGCGGCCTTTGCTATGGCAGTGCAAGCCGTCTTCTTCACAGCCAGCAAACGAGCACGGGAGCTAGATAAGGCTAGATTTTTCCTGCATTCAGGGCACCACGCTGCTAGGTATTTCCTTCGCTCGGCAGCCAACCTGCTGAACTTGGGAGCTGCAGGTTTCGCTTCTGTTGACATGATTGCCTGAGAGTTTTCGACTCAAGATGCCCAGCCAGAGAAACACAAACGTCCCGGGCAAACGCCGTGCGCTGCCCGGAATCTAGCACTGTCTAGCAGTATCTGCATTTTCAAACATCCCTGGTCCTCCGGGACCTCGCCGGAATCTAGCATTTTCAAGCAGTATCTAGCATTGTCTGGCATACTGTCTAGCATTATCTAGCATTGTCTATCTAGGTTCGCCTAGTATTCACATGGTTTGGGGTTTAACTTTTCGTTTTCCAGGCCAGAGAGCCCAACAGTGCTGCTCTCTGTTGTGTTTCAGGACCTACCGTTTCATTCTTTCAACGCCACAAATCTTCGGCACATGAGCAAAATAATTATCTAGCTTTTTCTAGCTTTCTCTAGCCGCCCTTGTCTGGCAAGATTTTCCTGTGGCTGTGAACCTGACGGCCGCGAAGCCACCCACAATTTCCGCCTATGATTGAAACTGTGCCACTCAAGATGAAAAACGTGCAGCCACGCCCCATCTCTAGATCAAAGGGGCGAGAAGGCTTATGCTAATTACGTCTCCGCGACTCTGCACGTGCGCGTCCACAAGACTAACCTGCAAAGCCTTGTGGAGAAAGCCCGCGATCAAGCACCGCCAAGCTTGCTGTTGCGAAGTGCTCCTGATTGCGCAACCTCGAGTATGAGATCTGTGGCCCGCCGGACACCACCTTGGACGAGAACACACCAGAATGTCACAAGGGCCGTGCCGGCACTTTATTTATGAACGTAACTCGACTGTCACAGATAAATTGCCGACAACCCCCCCTTTCCCATGCGGTCTTCGTACCCTTCTGCCTTCCGACTAGAATCCAGCTGTTGTCTGTGCCAATGAGAGCACCCCTGAAACCAGTAGTTGTGTTCATGTCCTGAATTGGTCAAGGCACCTGCAGACTGCATCTTCAAAGAGCACTCGTTGGCTTTGGTCTTGAACTCCGGGTTCCTGCGGACCTCTTCGACTGCTGCCGCAACGTCGCATCGGTACTTGGCAGCCGCCTGTGAGGCCTCGCTCAGATCGCACATAGGTCGCTCGATTTGCAGGCCGACACCAAGCTGGACAGCCTTCTGAGCATTGACAGGTTGGTCAGCAAATCCTGGGCAAACGACGACCGGAGCACCAGTGCTCAGGGATTCCATGAAGCTGTTTTGGCCTCCATGTGTCAGGAACAAGTCCACGCCCTCCTTTAAGATGTCAACTTGTGGCATGACGGGCAAGCATACGGCGTTCGCCGGAGCCATGAGGTTCTCAAGTGCATCTGGCTGGGGTCCCAAAGAGACCAACAGCAGCGGAGCGCCATCAGCGTTGTCCGTGCCGAAGGCATCGAAAAGACCACCCCAGGCGGCTTGGCAAAGCTCTTTGCCGGTCAAGCCCTGAAAAACTCCATCGACGGACCTTGGCTATTCCTCAGACCCTCTTCGAAAGCATTTTGCGCTCTCTGCCCATGCTTACGAAATCTTTCGAAGAAGAACTACAAGGAGGTGTGCAGCCGGGTGGCATGTGGTTGGCCCAGCCCACTTCTGGGCTGTCTCCTGTAATTACCGTTCCCATGCTCGCAAAGATCACCTCCCGACCCTCTGCGCGGGCCTTGCGAATCAAGGCTACGGGGTCGATGGCATCGGCGATTTGTGCAGATTGCGCTGGCTGCGGCGTCGTCTCAAGCCCCTTGGTAGACTCGGCGTCTTTCTGGAACTTGTGCCCTGCCGCTCGCTTGGCTCCGGCTTTATCGAGCAGCGGCCCGACGAAGACAAACTCCGTTTGGGCTTCTTCGTAGATCTTCTCCAGCTCCGGTGACAAGGGATCCGCCAAGAAGTCAACGGTGGTGACCAGTGTCAGTGCCGATTGCTTTGCGACCACCGACATTCCTACTGGTGCCATTTCCTCATCGAGCTCGATCTCTAAGCCATATTTGGCCCTCAAGCGATCAACAGCGTCAAGCAGAGGTTGATAGGCACGGCGCTCCTGAGGATCAAGGGCAAGCATTCTCCGGAGCAGTCTTTTCATCTAGAAATCCTACGAATGCTCCAGCCTTACTGGTAGCCGCTAGCCTCTGCCTCAGCTCTCCTTCAGGCACCGCTCAGTGGTGTAGCCCATCTTCTCCATCCACTCCAAAGTCGCCAAACGCAGGCTTCCCGGCCCAGCAGTTGTCATGATACCGACGCATGGAATGCCAAGAATCTGGGCGGCCCAGCAGGCCTCCTTGTTCATCAGAGGGCACAGCACGACCACATCTACACCGACTTTTTCAAGCCAGCGTAGAATGCCAGGCAACATCATCTCCTGCATAATTTCCCGGATCTTGAACATCGCGACAAACAGAGGGTCCTGATCCAAGCCAAACTCCTTTTGAAGGTCCGACAAGCATCCGAAGATGTCAACATTTCTTCCTTCATACATCTCCGGCAGCGCTTCGATCTCCGAATGGAAGGTGGCCCCCGTGTCTTCAATGGCATCCTTCATCTGCTCCCTGCAGAGGTAGTGGACTTCCTGGCCTTCCTCTACCAAGGTACGTGCGACGGGCAGAGAGGGGTTGATGTGGCCCGAGGCCATGGGAAAGATGAAGCCAAACTTCCGTGCAGGGGCGACCATCCTGACAGCTGCGCTGCGCCGCTACGTAGCGACGTAGGTCCTAGGTCGGGCTGAGCTTTCCTTTGAGAGCTGAAAATGCGCTGGCAGAACGATGTGGACAAAGGAGGCGCAGCAGAGTGCATTTGCACAAACGCTTGAAGACTTTCTCAGCTGCAGAACATGAAGTCACCCTCGAGACAGCAGATGGCCTCGTGTTCCTTGCGCCATGATCCTGAAATAAGGCTTGCAGGCCCAAAATCACACGCTGAGCTTGCTGGCGATTGTGCAACTCCACCACAGTGCTTGATTGTCGATGTGGTGTCAGGTTTTCGAGTTTTCGCTGCTCTATGAAGTGCGCAGGTTTATAGCCACGGCTTCCTCTCAAGCAGGCCAGGGCCTTGAACCAAGTTGCCCCCGCACGATGGTTGTATGCAAAAAACAGACGTCACTACCTACACTCCTTGATGACAGCATGCAGAGCATTCGGCGCAGCTTGAAGTTCGTGCATGAACAAGGCCGAAGCGCGAACTCAGAAAGCCAGCAAACGCAGTTTTCATGACCAGCAAGCGGTTGGAACCGCAGTGCAGACCGCATGAGCTGCTGTCCTGCAACGATCATGGCTTTGTCCGAGCGGCACATCTTAAACTACGCTAGTTATGGCTTATGCCTCTGCCCCACGATACCCCGATGTACACACCGCAAGCTGCGGTAAGCTGATTTCCTACAGTCTTGGTCTTGGCACTTCCGTGGGTTGAGCTCCCGACCGCATCGTTCAACGCTCCCAGATCGACTGCTTGCCCTTGTGCCGGTTATCCACCCAGACCTGGCAGGTGCTGCGAAGTCGGCACAGAGCCTGAGCCTACATCGTTTAGGGCTTGAGTCATTGGGGCTTCAAGTGCCGAGATCGCAGGCATCGCCGTGAACACGTGCCGGGATGTCGATCTTGTACGGGCTGCTAGTCTTATCCTGGCAGGGAAGCGGGATGGTATACAGTATAAAGAGTGTTTTAATTGAATTTTTGCAGGTAGAAACCTCGATCCTGTGTGTTTATGCAGACAAGACATCTTCAAGACCTGTGCGGTTCCGGATGCCTCAAGCTGGTAGTGCCCGCAGGAGAATCGCCCGTTGCCTCGGAAGCTCGGAAGACAGGACGCAAACTCGAAATGACTGCAACCTGCACCTGCATGCCATTTTTCAGGTCTAGGGCCCAGGCCATGCTGTTTGACATTTAGGCGTATGGGATCACGACCTCCCAGATGAAGAAAGGGGAGTCATAGTGACATCTCTTACTGTACAGGCTACACATTAGTCGCCGCAAGATTTTGAAAAAGCCTCTTCTGGACAAGGCAACATCCAGCTGCCCACGGCTCGTGTTGCGCGCCCTGGCACCCGTGCAAAAAGCCAGGATCTGCAATGATCTGCACATGTGGACTTAGTGTGGTACAGTACTTCCGACCCGGCTTGCATTGAGGTCTAGACCTGCAAACGCGCCAGCTTTGCCATTCTACTGACACCTTGTTGCCCATAGTGTCATGCCTTTCCGGGTGGGCGTGCGTCACAAGTGTTGACAGCATCCTCTCGATGAGTCTGAGTCTTTACAGTTCACCTCGCATACCATCGGCACGAGAGCCCTTTCGGAATATCTGTGCACCAAATCCCCCAAGTTCATCATACCGGAGTGGAGGGCATCCAAAGAGAGACAACATGCATCATTTTTCGGATGCCGCGACATATGCAACATCAATTCACGAAACCATGAACCACGTCGGAGCACATCACTTCCCCTGCCATCTGCCAAGGTGCCAGTCTCCAAGGAAGTCCTCCAAGCAGAGTTCCTCGGACCGCCTTCGAAAACCCGGGATAGAAAAGCATCGCATTTCTTGCTGATTACTAGCACGAGGAAGGTCTAGTGGTGCAAAATCAGCGTGCAAGCAACGCCAGGATGAGTGCGACTCACGCGCCCAGCAAAAGTGGGAACACTTCCCAATGGTGTGTCGGGGTCGAGTGCTCTATCATCTACTGCCCATAGGCGCATGAGAGCCTCTGGAAGCAACCGAAGCCTCTTACAACCTTAGGACGCTCACAGTCCGCCCTCCGTTCTCCCCATGCCTCTCAGGCTTTGGAGGCGGAGGTCCTGGAACCGGCGGAGGCAAGTACGGCGGCATCATGGGCCTCAGCGCAGGTGACGTGGCACGCAATCCTCAAACCTCGGAAGCCCAGCAAGCTGCAGGACTGGCAATGAGAAGATCTTTTTCCAAGGCGTCGCACTGCTGCGATGCTCAAGCTGATGAAACGTTGGGTTCGGCCGACGAGTCCAACCCGGAGGCCATAAAACTACAGTGGCTACGGTCAGTAGCACACATTGCAGTACGGTTGCCTTAAACCTACGGCTTGCACCGAGTTTCTGCTTGGAGTCAGATTAACCACTTGGCTGTATTGGCAGATATCATGCGCAAGAACTTCGATTGCTCAACCACTACCTTACACTCGTTTCGACTTGACTAGGTTACATTGCATACTGCATATCGTGTTTCAATTTTCTTCTATTCTGCAAATCTTGTGAGATCTACTTTGACATCAAGACCCAAAGCTCACTCTCTGGGCGTGCTCGAGCGTTGTTCGACGGATGCCTGCTCCCAGCTGAACGTGTCATCATCATTCGTTCGGCGGCAGAGGCGTTTTTTGAGAGTGGCACATCGCGGACTTTCTGGCTGCACTCGACGACTCAGTCTATTCAGTCCAGGTGCTTGGCATGGATCTTTGGCCAAGAGTTTCCATGTAAAGAAAATACCTGGCACACGGGTGCTGGCACCGGGTGCAGCCCGTCAGTCTAAGCTAACTCTTTCAATGTGGCCAAACCCATCGAGTTTCTCGAGCAGTCTGTGCCTGCATGCCCCAGCTAAGGACCGGACAAGGTGTTGCTCATCACGCAGCCGCCCAGCCAGCGGTCACCTGCGGAGAACCTGCAGGCGAACTTGCGTGGCTCCAACCTGTTGCCCGGTAGGTCCCTAGAGCCTTGGAAGCTGTAAATCGATGAACTTCACGGCCCCTTCGTCTGCATCCAAGCGAAATCCACGAAGGGACTCCTGAATAGACTGGGTACTGCATGGGGTATAGAGGATGCTGCACAGGCCGACCAGCTTGGATGTCCTCTCTTGCTGCGAATGTGAACATCCAAGATCTCTGAGTCCTTGGCTGCCGGGAAGGAGAAGTATCGGAAACTCCAGAACTCAACAAGTCGAACTGCATATGTATAACTACGACTGAGCATCGGCCACATGACAAGGCCATCTCCTCGTCCAGCCACGTCATAACTCCTCCGTGGAATCAGATCCTGGGCTTGGCTGATCATGCTTGGACCGGACTCCTGCCACGCTTCTACGAGTCTACGCTGTTGAATCCTTCCCTTCCCGTCCCTGCTGAGTTTGATCGCAAGGCTCGCAAGTCTCGTGGTCACAGCGCGGTTGCAACTGCACCACATCCTCGGTAGGTTCCTCGAACGTGGTGTTGGATGTTCTCAAAGCCCATGGTCCCTGTCACAGAAGTAGTTGAATACGTGCGAGATGTTGCGAAACAGCGGTAAGGTCGGTATGGTGGGATGTGGTGGGTCTCCCACGCCTCGCTGGCCAGGCTCCTGTGAAAGATTTGAACTCCACTGTTCGAGGCATGCGAGGGTCTCGCACGACGCTCCTCCATGGACCCCCAAGTACCCGGCTGATGTTGGCCAAGCCGATCATGGGGCAACGCAGCACGTGAGAGCCTCACAGAAAAAGGACCGGGCGTGCCCCGCAGGTCCTCCTCTCTAAGACGAGACAGAGCATTTCCCTCACCGGTCCGCCTCTCGCGGAGAGCAGCCAAACGGTGCAGTCGGCCACCGCCTCAGGCCAAATATCGTCACAAAAGACCATCAAAGCCGGTTAGGACGGGAGATGAGTCGTCCTGCAAGTGCCTTCTGTTGAAATCGTTCTGGGCTCCAGGCATTGCTGGTCCTGTCGCACTGGATGCTGGCGCTGCGAATCCCTTTTGCCTGGAAAGCCTGTCACGGGATGCAGGCAACGAAACACGCGCAGTGACCTCACAAACTACCATTCGACATTCGCCAGGTCAAACCTTACTGTTGGACCCGATTAATAATCATGGCTGCCATTGCAATTCAACTCTCTAACTAGGCACAGAACCGCAGCTCATTTGCCAATCAAGCTTTCAGGTACGTTAGCCAAAGAAGCAAAATTTCAAGCTCAGCGAAACACTTCGCCCACAACTTGACGACCCAGTGGGACGGGGTGAGAGTTGAAGTCGAGCACAGCGAGTATGAGCACAAGTATGTACTTCTTGGAAAACCGAAACCTGTTTGGCTGTCCCGAGGACTCGGAATCTGAGTTCGTAGTCACCATTTTCAGGAACCGCCTACGGAGCTTTGCAAACGACAGGTCCCTCCCACCAACTTAAGCACATGAAGTGGACACTCGCTATTTCATACGCTGGTCCAAACATGTCATTCCTTTCTCCATCGAACATGCACCATTGCGCCAGACTCTCGACCAAACCTCGAACTTGCCGCTCATGTACGGGTTCCCTTCACTCGTAACTGAAACACTAGGATACACTATGTCACTAGAAAGCGGAAGGTACTGCAAATACGAACGACTGATGAGCAAGCATCACCTGGATGCACTAAACTTCCTAAATCATCTATACCACCCTCCTGCATTCACATGACAGCTAAGTGCACAAACTGGGCCCAGACTGGTTTCGGAGCTCTCGGCTTCCTCCTAGAAGCCGCATGGCAAAATGCAAGCTGGTCCATGCCCAAGCTATGCGTATCAGCATGATATCTTAGGAAGAGGAAAGAAAGCGGTGGCACAGGATTGCTTAGGCTTGTCACAGATTTGCGAGTTGGAGGCTTTGGAGCTAACCCAAAGACGCAGCCGATAGCCCAGTAAGCCTTGAGCTGCGGTGCATCTGAGAGGCACCGATGCAGTCGAGCCTCCCGCAACAGCCGCAGCCGTGATCGAATTGAG